GCTGGCATCTTGCTTTTGTAGCAGTAGCAGCCAGAGGTGGAGCTACAATATACAGGCTCAAAGCTGTCAAATCACCAGAAACACACCCCTTTTTATTTAATCAACTTATTGAAAATGACTTTACCAGAACAATGACCTATTGTGCACAAATCAACATAATAATATCTATCTAATATGACAGAAATCACCTTTGAGAAAATTTGATTTGATTTCTACTTTGGATTTTCAGATTAGTTCATGTCCTATCCACTGGTGGGGGTGGGGTTTATGACCTTTTCTGCAACCAGCCACCATGGAGTAATTGATTTGTGGTGGCTTCACTTCTAGGCATCTGTCACATTGTCCTTCTTTATTTACAAACTGTGGTTTTGGACACCCTTTCACCAAAAGTATGTAAATCCTACTATTGAATCCAGGTTTCCCTAATTTGCCTTTACCTCCTTTACTCTGAGCCTTCATCTGAAGTGTTCAGTCACCAACTGACTACCAATAATGGGGTGTGTTGGTCCACAAAAGATGAAGGATGCAATCATGTATCCTTGCTCATTGCTCCTCCAGCAGCCTCCTTACTTCTCAGAGCAGAAATAAGAGCTCTGGAGCTTTCTTCATGATGGTGGACTGGAATGAACTCTGGGACGAGGGAGGATCAAGGAGCAACAATGTTAAAGGAGGAACAATGAAATAATGGAATTGGTGTGTTCAAATGTTTCACTGATCATGTATAGTTTCTTATATCCTGTAAAGTACAATTAACTTTTTCTTTCAAGCTTGCCAATGTTTCTTCATGGCTGAAACATTACACACATGCACATACAAAATCATAGAGTAAAGGTCTTTTCACACTGGAGGTGCATTTTTGGTATGTTTTTTTGCACATCAGTAATAATATTCTAACCAATATTCTGTCAATGAACCCCTGCACGTCAACAACTGTTACGTCCACGGATCAGGCCGTCCCCGGCACCTCGGCAGCTGATACCGGGGCTATCAGCGACTCCACCCCTGCTCACGTAGGAGCACGCTCCCGGCGACGAGGCGCACCTGCGCTCAATTAGCTGAACCATACTTAAACACAGCGCTGGTGTGTCCTCGTCGCCAGATGATCTCAGTCTTCTGCCGGTGACTTTGTGTGTTTCACGTCCTGGATCCTGATGTCTACTAAGATCGTCCTACTCTGGTATATTGGTGTTATCCACTGTGTCGACTTGAGTGCGTTTCTCTGCCTTATTTACGGTTTATTTTGAACTCATTACCGAGGAGTATCTTCTGTTATTTT